GTGTTCCGACTGCCTTCAAACATGCAGTCGTGCAACCTGATATTAATAAAAGCAACTCTGACAGCAACGCTCTTTCAAATTACAGGCCAATTTGTAAACTTAACTTCATGTCTAAGATTTTAGAAAATATAGTTATCCAGCAACAACAGTCCTTCCTAGAGACAAATGGTGTCAGCGACAAATTTCAATCTGGATATTTCAATCTGGATTCAAACGCTGATTCAGGGCCACAGGATGCCCTGAATCAGCGGTTAAAAACTCTCAATAAAGCAATTGAGAGTTTTTAACCGCTGATTCAGGGCATCCTGTGGCTCAAGTTTTATTAGATCTAACTTCTGCCTTCGATATGGTTGACCATAATATTCTCCTAACAAGGCTGGAAGATGTAGTTGGCCTTAAAGGTAAAGTTCTTTTATGGTTTAAATCGTATCTATCAGACAGATCCTTCTCTGTCACCATGGGGAAATACTCTTCCTCTTCTGCCCTGGTTAACTGTGGTGTGCCTCAGGGATCCGTATTAAGCCCTACGCTGTTCTCCCTGAACATGCTGCCCTTGGGACTCATCTTTAAAAAAACATAACATATTCTACCACTGCTACGCGGTTGATATCCAAATCTACCTTCTTCTAAACTTGGATGCCCCATCTCCTCTTTTGCCTTTGTTCGACTGTCTGCGAGAGGTTTAAAATTGGCTATCCCAGAATTATCTTGTCTTAAATGAAAGCAAAACCGAAATGATTGTTTTCGATAGCCACATTCCCCAGGGCCAGCTAACCAATACACTGGGGTCTTTCACCAGCCACCTCTCTCATTCTGCCAGAAATCTTTGAGTGCTCCTGGATGGTTCTTTTAAATTAGAGAAGAAATCCACTGTGGTAAAAACTAGCTTTTATCAATTATGGCAAATTTTCAAAGCTAAGCCCTATTTACCACATAAAGAACTCAAACTCATCCATGCCTTCATCACTTGCAGATTGGACTATTGCAACACTTTTTACCTGGGCCTCCGACTCTCCCTCCTTCTGGGCCTGCAATTAGTCCAAAATGCGGCAGCTGGCCTCTTAACCGGCTCTAGAAGACATGAGCACATCACCCCCATACTCCCTAACTTGCACTGGCTTCCTGTCAAATATCACACTGATTTCAAAATCCTTCTGCTCACTTTTAAAATTTTAAAAAACATGGCCCCTAGCTACCTAACTGATCCCCTTGATCTGTACAACCCAAAGAGAGCACTAAGATCCTCCAGCCAACTGCTTCTAATGCAACTAAGGCCTCGTTTAAAAACCAGAGGGGACCGTGCTTTTGTCATTGCCACCCCTAGACTCTGGAATAATCTCCCAGTTCATATCCGTACATCGGAATCAATTCAATCATTCAAATCACGCTTAAAAACACACCTGTTCAACTTAGCTTTTGAAGCATATAAGTTCGACTTTCATTCTGCCTGCACTACACCATGTAATGTAATTTTAATTGTAACTGTACTATTTGTTAATTGTTCTACCCACTTGGCGGTTTTATTGTGAAGCACTTTGATGTACACTAGTCTTTTAAATGTGATATAGAAGGGGATGGATGGCAAGGGAAGTGTACAAAAATGGAAAACAGTTTCAGACAGTAGATGCCCTTCGTCTGGCCATCATCACTTGGAGAAATGTTCCCACTCATCTCATGGAAGCACTAGTGTCAAGCATTCCGCAATGAATTTTTGAAGTGATCAACAATAACAGTGGAACTATTCATTACTGATTTCATGTTTGGAACTTTAATTTCTGTTTTAGAAGAGTTTATGGGTTTTTTGGAGGTGCGGTCCTAAACTTTTGATCAGCTGTAAAACAGTCTGTTTCTGTTGTTTTCAATAAATTACACGCTCAAAAAATGTTTTGTCTCACTCCCATTTCTTTTAGTTGCATGTTGAAGCTCTACTTGGAACCTTCTTAGGATCCAATCATGCAAAATTTGAGTTTTTGCCATTTTTCAAGTGGACTTAAACTTATTTTTCAAGTGGACTTTGGATTGGGACTGTATAAATCTTTACTACCATTTCAACTTGGTTGTCAGCACCGGAATAATCACTGCCAAGAGTAGAAATAACACTTGATTTTGTGTGGTTCATTCATTTGTCTAATATATTTTTGATTAATTTGTTGGTGATTGTAGAAGAGGTCTATCAATACAAGAAACCTTGTATGATTTCAGTCAGTATTTAAATAAATTCAATAGGACAAAATTTTTTTAATGGATTTTACTGGGGTTGTAATGACTTTATTCATTTATATAAAAAAATAACATTTTGCCACTGAACTTGGACTTAGAGAAAATACTTCCACACTGGCATTGAGGAGACAGAGGTGCAGCAAGCATATGTAGGCCTTGCTTATAGGTAAAAATAAGCAGAGTTTTATCCACACATCAAACATTTTTGTGGATTTAAAAACAAAGGATAATATCTGAAGTCCTTTGTGTTAAGAAAAACTCAAGTCACATAATGTAGCACCTAACAGTGTTGAGTCAACCATTATCAACACATGGCTGTTATTTCGCAAGGTTGTCTAACCTTAATAAGTATTGCGTAAGCTTTCAGCAGGTAAGCAAGAAAGTTTTATTGTTTTATATAGCACCTTTCACAGATAAAAATCAAAGTGTTTCACAATAAAACAAGAAATAAAAGTAACATGCATATAGTGTCTCAATATGTAAAATTTTCATTAAATCTTTGCTGGTCCCATGAACCTTGCGGAGTTTCAGTTTATTCATCTTTGTGTTTGCCCGACATGACATCAGCGAGGCACTGCCTGCATCCTGAACTCCTCAGGGGAATTGTTGAAACCCAACACACCCTCCAAGCTCGGCATTTTTCCAGGAACAGGTCTGAAGGTGAAGCGTTGGAGCAGAGATGCAAAGAAAAGAAAGAGCTCCATTTTGGCCAGGGGCTCACCGATACACACACGTTTACCTGTGGGAAACAGAAGTTTTTATCCTGCTAACCCTTGATATCAAATGTACTCTCAATGGAAACCTAATTACACGCTATAAAATTACCTGCTAAAAATGGCAAGAAGGCATCTCTTCTTCGAAATTTGCCCTCTGAGTCCAAGAAATGTTCAGGATTGAAGACATCTGGAGTCTCCCACTCATTCTTATCAAACAGCACAGATGAAAGTATTGTAGTAACAGCTGTGCCCTGAAGTTTCATTATAAGATGTTGTTATTAGCTATTTATAAATAATTGACACACTTATGAATTGAATTTCTGACTCAGTCTGGTAAATAATCCCTTACCTTAGGAATGAAGTATCCTCCCAGTGTAGAATCTTTACTGGCCATTTTTGGTAATCCCAGTGGAACAATATTTCCAACCCTCTGGGTCTCGTGGATAACAGCATCAGTGTAGGGTAGTTTGGGCCTATCGGTCAAGGTGGGCAGGCGAGACTGTCCGACTACTCTGTCTATCTCTGCCTGCACTTTCTCTGAAAGGGGAAACAGTAACAACTAAAAGTCATCACAATATGCCATATTATTAACTGAAGTAAAAGTGGTCCCAAATATTAAAAAAAAAAAGTGTCAGCAGCAGGTTTGCTATAACAACAATTTCCGATGCAGTATTTATATTTAATTGGTGTTGTGTGAAAATGAGGCTCTGAACCAACGATGTCTAATTTTGTTGGGAAAAAAAATGCCTCGATGCCCCTCCGGTCTACACCTCCTTCACTTTCATCTTTGGAGACTATTACACAAGAAAAAGGAGTTGGGAAATTGAAGGGGGATTGATTAATAA